ACCCTTTTACATTTACTGGTTTATTCTTGCAAATAACACAAATTAAGAGATGCAAAAGGTGTGGGAGAATAAGCCTGGAGCTTTTGTATACTTTCCTGTGTGCCACCATAAACTACATATATGTGAATAGCATGATACCTTCTAGTTTCCAAACACAGATCCCCTACATCAAAATAATACACAACCCAAAACCTACTGCTACCTTTTTAGATTCCCACGTAGTCATTAATAATTAGTCTGTCCATCATCCTATTGAATGAATATGAGAATTGCAGTATTTCAAGGGCTGTCAAAACATTATAGACATTATAGACATCCTGATAGATTGACTTAACATTTCATTTTAAATCATTTTGCTAGCAAAATTGGTTCTTCACAATTAGCGGTAATATTTAGGAATGATTTATCGGAATCCACAGACTGAATAACTTAATTTCCCAGTGACCTTAGATCTAGAATTTCTGTTGTGTCTTTGGTCTTTAAGTAGTGAAATGGCAAAAGGAAGTTGTCTCGGTTACTTTTCTCTCATTACTGAGACAAAATACCTGACACCCCAGATGGAGGTGGGTAAGGTTTACTTAGCTCACTGTTGGTGGAGGTTTCAGTCCATAATCTGCAGGTTCCAAGGCAGGGTGGCATGGCCCCAGGGCAACACTTCAGGCGGCAACCAGAGCAAAAAAGAATGGGGAGAGCCAGGCTCTTTTCCTCCCTTGTATTTACCAAGTCAGAACTCTGGCTCCCTGCAGAGTTCCTCAGTTAAACTTGTAAACTGCCCAAGTTGACACAGTGAATCCCCGCAAGGGCCTGGGCCTGCAGTTCTCCTTGCATGCCCCAAGCCTCCAAGGCCGCAGGTGCTTTAGGCTCCTAAACTGCAAGACGGGGCAGTGGACAGGGCTGGAGGTTCTAGCCCTTGTGATCTTACATGCACTTCGCCTCGGTTCCAGCTGTATTGTCGCTTATTCCCTATTCCGTGTGTGCATAGATATTATGACTGACAATTTGTGTACCTTTATAATGAACAGTATGATGCTTTGAAGTCAAGCTAACTACTGTATTCATTATGTCACATAGATTTTACGTGTTGAAAACCCATCTCAGAAATTTTAAAGTTATATTAGTCAGATTTTTGTTGCTGTGACCCAATACTTGAGAAAAACGGCTAAGGAGAAAAGGTTCACTTCGGCTCGCAGTTTCAGAGGTTTCTGATGTCCGCCGTCAGCTGGCTCCTCTGCTTTTGGTCCCTGGTGAGGTACAAGCCTGGGGCAGAACTGCTCGCCTCCTCGCAGCCGAAAACCGGGGCTCAGTAAAGATGGAGAAAGAGAGGGGCCGGGACAAGGTGGCCGCGCCCCTCAGCTCACTGCCTCTGTTAGGCCCGCCACTTACTTCCTTCTCCCAGTAATGCGGTGGAGTTACGATCCATCGATAAATTAATCCAGCGCCGGAGTTAGACCCCTCAGGCTCCATCACTTGAGAAGCCCACAGCAAAAGCTTCAGCGCAGTGAATCTTTGGCAGAACATTTTAGATAAAAGCCATAATAAGAATGCAGTATCTTACTTTTAACTCTGACACCATGATGTCCAATGAACTTCTTGAATTTATTCATCCTAATAAAGTTTTATAATCGTCACCCAACCATCACCTCCCTCACTGTCTCTCTCCATACTTTGAATGACCACCATTCTACAAGAGCTTTTATTGAACTTTTTGTTATCCCACATATAGACGAGATCATGCAGTATTTTCCTTTGTGTGTGCCTGGCTTGTGTCCTCCAGGTTGACCTAATTTGTCAAAAACGATACGATGTCTTTTCTAAAGACTGAATAGTACTGTGTTGTGCACTTATATCTTTATCCATCCATCAGTTAATAGACCCTTAGGATGTGTGCATGTCTTGACTTTTATGAAAAGGCCTGCACTGAACATAGGAGTACAGGTATCTCTTTAATACTGATTTTGTTTCCTTCACATACATGACTAGAAGTTGGATGGTAGACTAAGTCTAGTTTAATGTTTAAGGGACCACCATACTGTTACTCATGTCTACTCTAAGTAGCATGCCCACTGCGGTGTGCGGTATTCTTTTTTCCAGACTCGCCAGCATTCATTTTTTGTCTTTTTGATAATATCCCTCCTTACAGGTATGAGCTTGACTAGCAGCTGCCTGCTGTATGAGGGGCTTAGATTTAAATATGGTTCCATATCCAGCACTCCTGCCCGACTCACTAGCACCTGGCTGGCCTCGCTAGGTTTTTTTTTTTTTTTCTTTTTTAGAATTTATTTGAAAGTGAATAAGACAAAACAATAAAGCAAAACAATGAGAACAATCTTGGACTTCAAAAACAAGACAGTAGGAAATCAGCAATAGTTACTGTATTGCATATTTTTATCCTCTAAATAGGTGCTCAGACTCCCAGATCGTGGCATGCAGAGTTAACCTAACAACACAAACCCTAAGTTGTTTCTTTACTCCAGGTGCCATCATTTCAGAAATTTCAGATGTGGGGCTTCTAATTTTGTTATGTCCATGTCTCCCGGATTTGTTCTGGGTAAGATGTAGGCATGAAAAATTAACCACACAGCATAATCACTAAGTTGTTTCTTCACTTCGCCTGCTCTCATCTCAGACGGTCCGGCTGGTGACTCCCATTTCCTCTGCGTCTGTGCCTCCTGGACTTGTGCTGGGTGGTTTAGAGGTCGGTCACTGCACCGTCCTCCATCTTGTCGCTTTCCTGCACTCCCCGATCAGCCAGCCGCTGAGTCCGGGCACTTTCCACACTGGGACCTGCAGCCCCGAAGATGGTGCCAGGCATATGGATTCCTCTGATCTGAGGCTCTGATCTGGAGAGGTGCTGGCAGCAGCCAGCCATTGCTCCCTGGGGCGTGGCCTCCTCTCCTCCAGGCCCTTGGCAACTACTCACCAGGGGCCGTGGCCCTCCTCGCCTCAGGCCGGTGGCAGTGGGCCTGCTTGGGAACGTGCCCCTGCTCTTTGGCCCTCAGTGGTGAATGTGGCTTCCTTCCCTGGGCCTGAGGCAGAGGGCCTGGTTTTCTTATTTTTGCTGGATTCCAGCATTATCTGTCTCCATGGGCTGCGAGTCTCACTTCAGAGCCTCCTGGGTCCAGGGGACCCTTCCCTCCTCTTTTCCTCATGTGCTGTGTCTGCAATCTGGACACCCAATTTTGGAGGAGCTGTTTTTCCGCTGCTCACCTCTCCACCATCTTCCTGGAAGTCCCTCTCTAAGTATTTTAGAGAAAATATAATCATCTGGATATTTATTTAGAATAAAAAATAAATCATAACAAGTTACAGATTTAGTACTTAAAAGTTTGCTTTTCACATTGGTTGAGCAAATGTCATTTTAACCAATTGAGTCTTACATTGAATAAATTTAAAGTTTCAGTGTTTCCCATTATATTATAAAAATTAATGAAAAAATATGCAATTTTTGGTTATCTTTGGACTGGTAAGTGGTGAAAAATATGCTAGAAGCATCAAAAATGCAGGAGAAAAGCAAATTTTCAATTAGTTGCTAAGCATACCACTATGAATCTTTGTTTCTGCATTTATTGGCTGCATATTCTTTATTTTATTATGACAGTACATTTTCTTTTTCTTTTATTATTTTGCATTTTTAAATTTTATTTTAAAGAGAATAAAACCAAGGAAAATAAAACAATAAACCTAATCAAGATAAACTAGTATAAGTGATACAGGACTTCAAAACCTTATAAAATCAGCAATAGTTACCATAATGCCTCTTGTTTTTAAATAGCTGCAGATACCTTTGGACCTAGTAAAATCAAACAGAACAGAAACAATAAAACCAAAACAATGAATGCAATAAAGGACTTTAAAATAAGCTAATAGGAAATCCAAAATGCTTACCATTATATATCTTGCTATCTTTTAAATAGCTGCTCCTGCCATCATATTTAACATAATCAACAAAACAGAAGAGAATAAAACTCAACCTACAAAATCATGAAAATGATACGGTTTCCAGGCAGGGGCTATCTCCTTGAGGGACCTGGTTCCCCCCACCGCCCCTTGCTGACTCGGGAGAGAGGCTTGTGTGTGGCTGTCATGCTCTGGCTGTTACAGTGGTATTAATCAGCTTTCTGTCACTGTGACCAAGTACCTGAGCTCGTCAATGTAAGAGGAAGAAAAGTTTATTTTGGCAAATAGTTCCAGAAGGTTAGCCCATGCCTGGCTGCTGTGTTGCTGTTAGGTCAGTCTTGCCACTTTCTGAAGCTGTCCTGCAAGTCTTCATGGATATCTTTAGTTGTGCTGTGTGGCTTCATTAGTGTTCTGACTCAATAAAAAGTCGCATGGTGCCTCAGCAGTGAAGAAGTGAGTGAGGGCACACCGTAATGTTTCTATGACCCTGTCCTGTCCTTCCATTGGCTGGCTGTATTTTTTAATCACGCCTCATAAAAACATGAAAGAAATGCTTCAGCAAAAACAGTCGGATAATTGTGTTCAAAGCTAGGCTGCGTGTTTTGAGAGATTAATGGCAACGTGCCTTTTACTGTGATAAATTTTTAAAAATTTAGAATACTACAAAGAAGGATGAATGAGAGGCTTTATAGGTAAATGGGCGCAGCTAGAGACCATATTCGTAAGTGAGAGAAGTCAGACTCGTGTATAAACACCAGACAGTCTCGCTAGGGTCAGAAACTGACGGCAAATGAGATCCAAAAGTTATACTCGATGTAGTTAAAGGGAAAGAAAGTGCTCAAAGGGAAATCATTCTGTTTGATCAATTTTGCATGCCTATATCTAGTAACCTGAGCAGCTGTTTTGAAGATAACAATATGCAGTATAACAACCATTATAAATTCCTATCGTATTGCTTTGGAATCCTGTATCACTGTTTGGTTGTTGTTGATCCGTGTTTGGTTACTTTTTCATTTCTCTGGATTTTTTTTTCTCTTTAAAATAAAACTTTAAATACCATGTATTTTATTGCTTCGGTTAATTTAGGATCTTTCTTTCCTTAGGTAACCCAGGTTTTTCTGCCTTTTATGTGCCGTTTGTAAAGGCTTTGTACTCTTTGACGAACAGACACTTTCCAATTTGGATTATCGCTCATGCCGGCCATGTCTTGGCTCCCCAAAACAAGAAGACGGATGTGACGTTGGAGGGTATGTCCTGTTAACATCTGCTTTCCTTCGCAGGGAGTGGGTGTTCTTGTTTCTAGAGTACCTACTAAGGTTAAGAGTTTTACCGTTGAAAACCTCTGCTTACAGCATTGAACCCATGATGCTGATTTGGTAATTTTAGGATTTGTAGACATTTTAACTCTCATATGGATAGTTTTCTTTAAGAATTTGGGTAGATGAGACTCTGTATGACTTGCCTTCTTTACCAGTTAGCAATCACGTATTTCCAAGGTTGTACTAGGAGGAGGAGTAGACAAGGAAGTATAAAGGGCAGGGTCTTCAAAGGAGCACATGCCTGGTGTTCAGAGAATGACTGTGTGACAAATCCAGCCTGCTGATCCTGCGGGTAGAGGAGACTTCGTGCAGTATGTTGCCTCGTCATCAGTTTGGACTGCGGTAGCCGGGGACCAGGGACTGGGTACCTTATACACAGCACACGTGAGCTCTCCAGGTTCTAGAGGTAGGGATGCCAAGGTCAAGGCACTCAGCAGTTCATTTGCAGATGAGGGCTTCCTCCTGATTCATGATTCACCCTTCTTCCTGTATCCTCTCTCAGGGGAGGAAGAGGCAGCCCCTCTTAGAACCCTTCTAAGGGCATTAGCCCTGTTCCTGAGGGCTCCGCCTGCATGACCTTATCTGTGCATAATACCCTCAAGGAGTGCATGTTTGGGTGTGAGATTGTCAGCATCTGAATTTAGGGATGTGGGACCCAAGCATGAGTAACGGTGGGTTTGGCGGTGGAGAAGGACTCGGATCGGGTGCTGCAGAGGTGTGGCAGGCAAAGAGGTAGCATGGAAGGGAGCCTGGAAGGCGCACTGCTTCTGTGCACAGCTCATTTAGGAGAAACCGGACAGCTGGGAGAGAGCTAGGATTCTACACGCTAAACTGCTGGAAAACTTTGAGGGAAAGAAGTATCATTGTCGACATGCAAACTCTTTGCTTTTAACATAAGAATTCTAACATGTTCAGCCTTCTAAAACAAAAGTGAGAGGACAAAAGAGGGCTATAAATTCTCTGTAGGTGTGGCTATCAAGGGCCTTTCGCGTGCAGCGTTCCCTTTGTTAGGTGGGGTGAGAGCAGTGGCCCCTCCGGCCTCATTGCTTACTGGGCTGTGCGGCTCCCAGGCTGCTCATGGGTGGGCATTGCTTTGTACTTCCTGAGTGCTGTGGTAGGAGTGGAGCTATAAAGCTACGCTTTCTTTCACACATTGCTGTACAAGTTTGAATACACAAAGCCCGTACTGTAGGAGTGATCTAAGTTACTGACGGGGACCTTTTAGGGACTGAGTGCCCCAAATGCAACCCAAACGTTTATCACAAAGTGCTAACATTGTATTTCAAACCGAACACTCAAGTTTTAGCTTAGAAACTCACATAATAACATCTTTTGTTTTAAAACAAAAACACAATAACAGAGCTTTCAGTGGTACAAATAGCTTTTTAGTGAATGGGAAAAGATTGCATTTGTTGTGTTTTTGCAGAATTAATGTGAGCTTTGCCATTCTGTGCATACCGGTAATTTATCAAACCTCAGCTCATACTCCGGCAGTTTGAGAGCAGCTCCTGCAGCCCTGTTAGTCTGTTTCTTATATCGGATTTGATACAATTCAAAGTTGAAAACAGCTGCTTGTAGGCATAAGCTACTCCAAACAAAGTAAGAACAGTAATCCCAAGGGCTTTCATTGATTTAAAATTACGCGGCAGCGACTTTGACGCCAGGAGGGTTTCCCTTTCGGAGCTACCGACTGTGCCTGCTGTGCCCTCCTTCACACTTTCACTTCTCTCTCTTCAGAGAGATCTCCACAGAGATCATAAAATTTATTTTTCCAGACTGAGCTTTCTTGAAATTCCAATAGCTCCATTTCCAGGTTTCCAGCATCTAACCTATGTGAGCAGGAAAGATCAAGGTCTTCAAATTTGGCTTTATCTGGAGAAGAAAACACAGGGTCGTCTCCGTCTTACAGAGCGGTAAAAATCTGTTACTAAAATTCTCCTTCGTAGCTGCTGCAACGCTAAGAATTCCTTGTAGATTTCCTGATGGCTTGTAAGAGCATCTGCAAATCTAGAATTTTCTAAATATATTTTAGCTTTGGAAAATATTTTAGCCACCCACTTTCCAGGTCTTTTTCAGAAACCTGCAGTTTTCTCTCAAATGTTTTGGTAGCACAAAACATTTCTGCTGTTTCCCTTCCCATACAGTGCAGACTTTTGTTCAGCACTTTGAAGTATGAAATCTGTAAAAAGCATGAGATGACTCAGCCAGCCATGTCCGTGAGCCATGGTTATGTCTACCCTTTTCCATTCATAAACGCCCTAATTTCATCCAAGCAGGACGTGTCCTCTGCTCAGCCACCAGTCACTGTTACACGTGAGCAAAGCGTTGTACTGTGTCTGAACCTCAGCAAGAAGTGCTTGAACTGCTGGAAAAGTGAGAGCGTGAACCGTGACACCGTCTTGATGACAGCTTCAGGGTACTGTCTAATCTTTTGCTGCTTTCCCTGGCACAGAGGCCTTCCTGATATATAACACAATGAAACTGAATGACTGGATGCTTTGCTTCTTTAACAAAGAGCTGCATGGAACCAGATATTGCCCTCACCATGCAAGGTGACAAAAAGCCTCCGTGGCAGCACTGTAGATATGCATGGCTCGTGTTCTCCAGGTAGACACATCGTTTCACTAACTCCTCTCACAGTGTCACCAACAGCATAATGCAAAATTACCGCTAGCCTTGCGTGATCGTTCTTATCTGTACTTCCATCCAAGCCGCCTTCAGTAGTCAGTGGTGACTGCCGTGCACAGGACTCAGTCTTTGACAGTATTTCTGCTAAGTGACATCTCAGATGTGTAATTTTATGCTTGTTTGGGAAATCATGAAAAAGGAGATTACTCCAGGACAACATGACCATTTTAATAAAATCCCCATCAAGAGAGCCTGGCTACATTTTACTATTCTCAGCAAGATTTGAGAGCTGGCAGCTGTCAGGTTGTTGTAGAAAGATGGTTGCAGTACTTCTGGTTAGTGTGAACCTACTGTCTGACACTTTATGTGGGAGCCATGACACTTCCCACTGCACAGAACGCGTAACTTTCCCACTGTGCTCAGTCACCCCAGATGACTCTGTCCAGGCCTCCTGGGATGATCTTCCACTCTGTTTTCCATTTTATTTTTTAGTTTCTTTGTTTTTGCTTTTGTTTTTTTGCTCTATTCATTTTTAGGTGTTCAAAACATGGAGTGTAGAAAAACACAAAATTTTTAAATAACAAAGTTACCCCAAAATAGGTAACATTGTTAGTTAACATGAATCAGCAGTGTGTGGCAGTGATTTTCAGCTGGAGTTCCTCTTGCATTTTCTGGCCACCCGTGCACCAGGACAGTGTTCTGCTGACCATTAGCACAAGGGGTTAGTGTTCGGTGGAGGCAGAGTTCCACCAACTGCCAGCTTTGAGCTGCTCTGAAAAGGCATCTGGGTGCATTTCTTACCTTGGGAGGACTTCTAAAATCACAGCCAGCCCAAGCAAATATATATATCCTTTCTCTTATTTTCATAAATTCTTCACAGACAACTAAATATGATGCTGCAGATTTAAATATGCAGGGAAAAGCACATTAAAAGAATCTCAGTCTCTTAATTAGAACATCTCTTTGCTAAATCTTAGATACTAAATTTAGTTTTTCATAACAAAATTCAAAGCTAAAATCTTATGTAAGTAAAAATGAATGTGTTAAACTTACATCCAGTCCAAGCCAGTATATGTACCGTAATACCTCTGTTCACAAACACTTCTGTTCATGAATAATTCAGTTCACAAACAGAAGCATTTGACAAAATTTTGCTTCCATTTGCAAATTCCACATCAGATGATCAACATGACTGTAGCCATCTTCCCTATATAAACACAAACATGGCCATGCAAAACTCTGTCCAGGGTCAGGGACTTAGCTCAGTGGCTTAAGTGCCTGCCTGGCAAGGGTAAGGTTGTGAGTTCAATCCCTGGAACCAAAAAAACCCAAAAAACCCTTCTATCCAATTAGCTAATGAGTCCCAGCTCAGATGTCCTCACCTGGTACAAAAACTGTTTTCTGAGTGTGCACTTGGCCTCCAGGTGTGCTGTTTTCTGATGCCCAGATGCTGGGGCAGCTTGGCTTACCTGTAGACAGAGAGGGCTCTGCCTGCGGCCATGCCCACATGTCATAGGTTTGCCACCACTGATCTAAATGTATTTCAGGGTAGCTTTGATTGTATTTATTTGTTTTATTTATTTATTTTTGTGCCAGGGGTTGAACTCATGACCCCACACTTGCCAGATAGGCACTTACACTGCTGAACTAAATCCCTGGCTGATTGTATTTATTTTTAACTCTGTGCTCTGACTTCAGCTGCTAACCATCATATTTTTTGTTTATGCTTTGAAATTGAATTTATTGACAATAAATATGAACACATACTGAACTCTTCAATATCCTCTAAAGACTAGTTTATTAATCTATTATGAATATGGGTAAGCATTACAGGTCATATAAACAGAATTTTAGCTTTTATCTGATTATTAAATTGGTGCATATTAGTAAAACAATAATGAAATTGATTTTAGTGTACTGGTATTTTCATACCTTTTACCCCACTCTCCCTTCCCCTGATCCTCTTCCTCATTTTCACTAATCTGTCTTCTAAGCTGGGCCTAGTCACGCAGGCCTGTAATTGCAGTGCTTTGGTAGGCTGAGGGCAAGAGGGTTACAAGTTCAAATCCAATCCCGGCAATTTAGCAATTTAGCAAAACCTTTCTCAAAAAACAGAAAAAAATTTAAATGGTCCTATGGTTACTTTTCTGATCACTGGGACAAAATAGTCAACACCCAAAGTTAAAGACTGCAAGGTCACTTAGCTCACAGATTCCATAGTCTGCTGGCTCCAAGGCAGTGACGGGCACAGAGGCAACAGTCAAGGTAGCAGAGACAGGAAAGTATCAAGAGCAATCGGA